TGCGGGTGGGCAGACCGAGGCCCACGGTGTGGCCACGCCTTCCGCGCCAGCCGCGGTGGTTTAGCCTTCTCTCCCTCTTGCTCCTGGAGCTGGCGGCCTGGGGCGCTGGCTGGCCAGTTCTGCGGGCGCCAGTGGGTTTGCAGGCTGGAGGGGCACGAGCGAGACTTGGGACCTTCAGGGCCCGGGCAAACCGCCTTCCCCCAATAATCCTGCGGAGGTGAGGCCAAGATCCAGGTTAGGAGGAAGGTGGGGCCCCGGGGCCCAGGTGGGCCCGCTCACCCTACCCTGTCTAGCCTGAGGCTGACCAAGGGTGTTCTGGGGACCCAGAGGGGTGGGGCTCTGATCCCTGTGAACTATGGTGACAAGACAGCAGCCTCACCCTCACCCACAGGCGCTGTACCACCCGCGCACTCCATGTATCTTGGCAATCTTAGAGAGACAGGACACCAACACTTCTTTGCCAGGAAGCAGAGTTTATTCGTGCTGGCAGGGGCTCAGCGGATTCACATCCAAAGGCTGAGCCCTGAAAGCACAGGGCATTGCCTTATATACCTTTTTACACTGTAACCCCCCCTTTGTCTCCCTTACAAGGCAGTGTTTTTGGTATTATACATTTGATTGGATACTTCATAGTTCAGGGCTACAGTTAGCCCTACTTGTCATACATTGATTGGTTTCTCTTTTTTTTTTTTTTGAGTTGGAGTCTCACTCTGTCGCCCAGACTGGAATGCAGTGGCCAGGCTGGGCTCTGGTGATCCTTCTGCCTCTGCCTTCCAAGTAGCTGGAACTACAGGCGCACGCTACCACGCCCGGCTAATTTTTGATTTATTGTAGAGATGAGGTCTTGCCAAGTTGCCCAGGTGGGTCTTGAACCCACGGGCTCCGGCAGTTCACTCACCTCAGCCTCCCAAAGTGCGGGATTACAGGCTGAGCCACTGAGCCCGGCGATTGGTTTTTCATAATCTCGTTTACATGTCCTATTTGCTGATTGGTTTACAGGATTACTATTCTGTGGGTTCCCGCCAAAAGTTTAAACATGTAGTCCGCCAAAGTCAAAACCCGCGAAAGAGGTAGCACAAAGAAGCAGGAAGTAACTTATTTTCACTTTTCTCACTCATGCATTTTCAGAAGGATCCCTGCCTCCTAACCCCCCTTTGATGCTTGGACTCCTTTAGGGTCAAAGAGCATCATATTGATTTGGACCGTTCCATAGTCAATTTGTCAGCCTTTGCCACTGGAAGGGCTGTGGCAGTGAGTTTCTGTAGGCAAGGTAGCCAGTCTTAGGCAACAGAGTCAAGCTGCTTGGAGAGGTATGCTATTGGACGGTGCCAGGACCCCCAAATCAAGATGTTGGTGTTACATAGCATCATTACATGCTCTGCTGTTTTTTTTCGACCATGGTCTCAATGAAGTTGGAGATAGATCTTATGGCTAGAGGGGCTAGGCAGGGTAGAATTAGACGTGTTCCTACAGTTGCTAATATGGTCCCTAAGAGAGGTTTGAATCCCCTGAAGACAAGACTGAGAACCATCCCCCCAAACAAGTTTCCAGGGTTTCAACCTTTCCAGGTTTGAACAATCATGACAGGGCCGACCTGGCTTGGTGGGCAGTAAGGTTGCAGGGTTGAGAGTCCGCACCACTTCCAAGTGGATTTTCACATAGTATCCACCAATATTTGACCATTTGGGCATTAGCCAGTACTGCTCCTTATACTCCATTAACGTCAACACCGAGTGTGACACTTGGACCATTCATTCTTGTCCCATAGTCAATTTGTCAGCCTTTGCCGCTGGAAGGGCTGTGGCAGTGAGTTTCTGTAGGCAAGGTAGCCAGCCTTGGGCAACAGAGTCAAGCTGCTTGGAGAGGTATGCTACTAGACGGTGCCAGGACCCCAGCATTTGGGTCAAGACCCTTAGTGCTATTCCAGTATGCTCATGTACATACAGGAAAAAGGGCTTAGATATGTTAGGGAGCCCTAGCCTGGGTGTGCTAACAAGGGTTTGCTTAATTTCCTCAAAGGCCTTTTGTTGTGCTCGTTCCCATAACATAGGCTCTCATTCTCCACCTTTGTGGCCTCATAGAGAGGCTTTGCCGGTACTGTAAAGTTAGGTATCCAAATTTTACAAAACCCTGTGGCCCCAAGAAATTCACGAACCTGTTATCTGGTGGTCAGGACTGGAACGGAGCAGATGACTTGTTTTCTTTCCAGGCCGAGTTGACGCTGCCCCTGGGATGATTGGAAGCTAATGTATTTTACCTTCTCTTGGCAGATTTGGGACTTTTTCTCTGAAACTTTGTAGCTGACCTTCCATAAGAGGGTGAGGAGCTGTTGTGTTCCTTCCATACAGTCTTCCTGTGTTCCCTGGCCAGCAGCAGGTTGTCCACATATTGGAGCAGTGTGCAGCCATAATGGTCTGCTGGGAAGGCTTTTAAGTCAGAAGCTAATGCTGTGCCAAAAATGGTTGGGGAGTTTCTGAACCCCTGTAGCAGTCTAGTCCAAGTCAATTGGCTTCTGTTGCTGTTTTCAGGATTTTCCCTTTGAAAAGTGAAAATCAGCTGGCTCTGAGGAGCCAATAGGATACAAAAGAAAGCATTTTGAGGTTTAAGCAGGAAAGGAAGGCGGCCTGAGTGGGGATAAAACTCAGGAGAGTATAGGGATTGGGGATAACTGGGTGTCAAGTAGTGGTGGCTTGGTTTACTGCCCATAAGTCTTGAGCCAGCCAGAAGTCATCTGTCCCCTCTTTCTGAACTGACAGTAACAGTGCATTTCAGGGCAACTGACAGGGCCAGAGGATCCTGTCTTTTAAAAGTCTCTCCAGATGTTCTTGAATTCCAATCTGTGCCTTATGAGGGATGAAATACTGTTTTTGATAGATGGGTCCAGCTCCCAGCCTTAGCTCCATTACTGGGGGTGTATTATGGGCCAGTCCGGGAGATTATCCTCAGCCCACACCCTGGGCACCTTAAAGGGAGTTCATGTTCCTGGTGGGGCATCTCTGTGAGACTGTAAAGTCGCCATTCTTCTCCCTGGGGAACTGTGAGAGTCATAATTTTTGCCTCTGGGTTTTTCAAAGTTAAAGCTGCCTGGCCATCAGAGTGGAAAATGATCTGGGCTTGTTACTTCCCCAAGAGGTCCCAACCCCTTAAAGCCTCTGGACAGTCTGGAAAGTATAGGAATTTATGAACAATTTCGTGGCCCCCTAGATTACATCATTGGAGCTGTAAAAAGGGGTGATGAACTCGACCACCTGTGGCCCCACCAATAGTGGCCTGTCTTGGTGAGAGGGGGCCCACCGGTTGGGTTACTACAGAATGCTCTGCCCCAGTATCTACCCTGAGGTCAGGGGGCCGGCCCCCCACAGTCATTTGGACCATAGGCTTCCGGGGCCTAGCAAAATGGAGCCTGGTCTGCCCTACTCTTCCGCTTGATTCTCCGTCGCAGCTAGGCCAACAGAATTACTCTTGGGGGCCACAT